ATCTGTCGAATGGAATATTGCGATATGTTCAGCTCACGAGCCATTTTTCGGCCACTGCGTCGCGGGTTTCGTTCAAGTCGCTTCTTTACTTTTCGAACCATTTCTGCTGATGTTGCTGCTTTCTTCCGTTCACTTCCTTGACGTCGGGCTATGCTAGAAGTATCACGGTAATGAGCGATGGTACGAGACACAAAAGATTTATTCACATTTAAATGTTGGTGTGCCCTAACCACAAGTGGCTATTGTGGTTTTCCAGCCAAATATAAAGAAATCACACTATCACGCTTGAATTCCATAACGAATAACTTTTTTTGTTGGAAAATTCTCACCAAAATGCTTTTGTACGCTTGTAAACAATATAATGAGCTGTCTCTGGAATAATTTTAACAGCTGTCGGACGTGTGGCTTAGAAATGACAGCAGTCTGAAGTTGGTTGCCATTTGGTGCGCAATTAACACGAAATCGCTTAAAGATATATATGGGAGCTATATCTAAATTTGAACCGATCTTTACAAAAAATAGTTTGGAAAATTGCATCTCAATCGGATAATAGATGCGATCTGTATTTTGTTCACAATAATACATGGACAGACGGAATCGACTCAGAAAGTGATTCTATGAAGATCCTCAAAAGTAACAAAGGGGACTATCTCGCTTCCTTCTTCCATCCTTGAAAAGTGAAGTAGTAAATGGCTTTTTTTACTTTTTTTATTTTGAGGTCAAGTACAATTAAAGCTAAATATAGTAATGTACTTACATACTCAGATGGATGGAAATGCATAATTCGATTCTGAAAGTGTTTTTACGTAGATTCCGAATATTATCATTTTGTACGCTATAAATGAAGCATAGTACAGGTTTTAGTACACACAAATATCGGGTAATTTTGAAATTCGTGCCAAAAAGGTGTAAAATCTGCAGAAATGCATTCATATTTATTCACATCCTAACAATGAATATGTTACACCATCAATAACATATTAATTTTAATTTTTTGCCATTCTTCCTATTTAAAATAAAATATGAGTCTTCACACTTAACCCAAATGCATTGCCTTGCCCTTCGAGGAAACCAACCCTATTTATATACGTGTATACAGTACACAATATGTGAGACCAAGAATCAATAAATTGCACTCAATGAACTCGCAGCAATCAGTTTAAATCATTCGAAATATCAGATGCATTGAAATGGCCACGAAAGGAAGAAAAAAGAAAGAAAATAAAATAAAAACATTACCACACAACGAATCTGTGGCATGCAATAAAGAAACAGAAATGGTCATCTTCTGTCGCTAATATCATCAAAATATCGAATATCTGGAGGTACAGTTATATGGGAGTTATTCGCACACACGGACCTGCACCCATTACGAATTTAAAATACGAAAATATAGGGAGGTACCGTTATATGGGGGTTATTCGAAGGAGTAAACCTGCATATGCAATTTTCTGTCACAGTACCTATTAGAAACTTACAATATGAAATTTGAAACACCTGTGAATAAAGAAGCTAAAATCGTAAAAATACCAAATATAGAGAGATAGCGTTATATGGGGGCTATACGAAGACCTGGGCCTCAATTCTTGTTCTATGAAAATGTGAAATGAAAACTTTTATAAAGGAAAGAAATGTCAAATTAATTTTTCATTTCTTATTTTCATAGAACAAGAATCCAGCCTCTGGATCTGCATATGCAATTTTCTGTCATAGGCTGTAGTATCTGCTAGAAACTTTAAATACGGAACTCTATACAATTCCGATAATTAATGTCGCTAAAATCATCAAATTATTAAAATGCATAGAGTAGTCACGATTTGGGAACTATATCCAAATCTAAAGCGATTTTCAACAAATTTGAAGGGGGGTTTTAACCTCCGGTACCAAATAACATTGCTGTATAGTGCATGATATGACTTCGATATGGATTATATTAAAAAAATATTTATTGGAGCAATAGACATATTGGACAGAGTTTCACCAAATGAAACCAGTAAGGAAAGCTCAAAAGTCGGGCGGGGCCGACTATATGATACCCTACACCACTATGCATATTTAGTAGAGCTCTCGTAAAAAGGTTATACAGGGCATTTCAGAGCTCTATGAGATATATGGTACAAAATCAAAATCTATCTAATTCTATCGTGCATTTTACGAACTATAGCTATCTCTGAACCGGGTTTCTCCAAATTTTACGTATTAGCTTCTAGACTGAATTCGGTCTTATGTACGAAAATTCAGGTGATTTGGGCTGATATTGACCATTTAGTGCACATTTAACCCGAAATCGGATGAAGATATATATGGGAGCTATATCCAAATCTGAACCGATTTCGATAAAATTTAAAACAGCTATTCCTGTGCTCCATCTAATACCTGGTACCAAATATCATTCTTGTGGAGTGCATATTACGAATGTGAAAGGCTTAAACACCAAATCGGATAAAACATATATATGGGAGCTATAGCTATATCTGAACCGATTTTCTCCAAATTTGTTGTATTTGCTTTAAGGCTAATCTCGGTCACATGTGCCAAAATTCGGACCATTTTGGCTGATATTGGCCATTTGGTGGTCAATTAACCCGAAATCGGATGAAGATATATATGGGAGCTATATTCAAATCTGAACCGATTTCGATAAAATTTAAAACAGCTATTTCTGTTGTCCATCTAATATCTGGTACCAAATATCACGGTTGTGGAGTGCATAGTAGGAATGTGAGGGACTTAAAGATCAAATCGGATGAAAGATATATATGGGAGCTATAGCTATATCTGAACCGATTTTCTCCAAATTTGATATAATTGCTTCTAGGCCGAACTCGGTTGGGTGTGCCAAAATTCAAGTAATTTGGACTGATAGTGGACATTTGGTGCACATTTAACCCGAAATCGGATGAAGATATATATGGGAGCTATATCTAAATTTGATCCCATTCTACCAATTTCAATAGGGTTCGTCCTTGGGCCAAAAAAATAATGTTTGGAAAATTTCATCACAATCGGATAATAAATGCGACCTGCATTTTTTTCACAAAAATACATGGACAGACGGACGGACGGACGGACAGACAGACTGACATGCATAAATCGACTCAGAAAGTGATTCTATGAAGGTTCTCAAAAGTAACTATGGGTCTATCTCGTTTCCTTCTCCATGTTACAAACAAATGCACAAAGACATAATACCCTTACCAAAAAAATTAGGTTGAATATGAAAAAAAAAATCTATCCATTTTGGGCTGATATTGAATATAGGGTGGACAATAATCGTAAAATCGGATGAAGATGTATATCGAAGCTATATAAAAGTCTGAACCCAACTCGAAAAATTTGGCAGAGGTGTTTTCGAGCTGTATCTGATGTGAGGTATCAAAGATCATTGTTGTGGTATGCATATTACGCATGTGTGGGACTTTAACACAATATCGGAATATATATATATATATATATATATATATATATATATATATATATATATATATATATATATATATATATATATATGTGAGCTATAGCTATATCTGAACCGATTTTTATTTAATTTGAAGCACTTGTGGTTGGAATGAATTCGCAGGAACTGCCAAAATTCAGTCCATTTGGGCTGATATTAGCCATTTGGTGCATAATAAGCCTGAAATCAGATAAAGATATATATGGGAGCTATATCCAAATCTGAACCGATCTCGATAAAATTTGACAGAGATATTTCTGGACTGTATCTGATATCTTCTACGAAATATCGTTCTTGTGGAGTACATGTTACAAGTATGAGGGAGCTATAACTTTTTTTTTCACAAAATTTGAAAAACTTGTTTCTAGGATGAATTCAGTTGGAATTGCTAAAATTCAGTTAATTTGGGCTGATATATAGAAATTTGGTGCCTATAAACCTGATATTGGATAAAGGTATATATGGGAGCTATATCCAAAAATAAACCGACCTTTATAAAATTGTAGGCACTTAATTCTGAGCTTTATTTTATATCTGGTACCCATGATTATTTTTGTGGAATAAATATAAAGCATGTGAAGGACTTAAAGCCCCAAGTCGGATAAGACGTATTTATGGGAACTATATCTGAACCGATTTTCATCAAATTTGATGTACCTATTTCAAGACTGAATTAGGTCTTATGTGCCAAAACTCAGATTATTTGGACTGATATTGGCCATTTTGTCAAAATTAACCTGAAATATGTTGAAGATATGTGGTAGCTATATCTAAATTTGAACCAATTGTCAGCAATTTTTATAGGTTTCTTCCTTAGACCAAACAATTTTTTTTTGAAATTTTCATCTCAATCGTATAAAAAATGCGACCTGCATTTTGTTCACAAAAATACATGGACAGACGGACGCATTGACATGCATAAATCGACTCAGAAAGTTATTCTATGAAGATCGTCAAAAGTAACTAGGGATCTATCTCGCTTCCTTCGCCATGTTACAAACAAATGCACAAAGACTTGCCACTATGTGGTGTAGGGTATACAATTTGGACCTTCAAATGAAGTATATGCTCAAACATTGAAAATGCCTAAAATAATGACGGTATGCCTAAACTTAGTTTGTAATAGTAAGTTTTCAATACCAATTATACAAGACATAATACTGGCAATTCTGTCACACTTGCACATATGTAAAAGACATGCCCAATAGGCAATACCTCTTGCAATATCATTTAAAAAAAAAATTACTCTGGAATCACATACTTCTTTGGCATGAAACATTTTGCCGGTACATACATATATTATTTTAATATATCACTAATAATATCCTTTTCCAAAAATCATTTAAAGTTAATTCCAATTATTATTGTATGTCTGTCAATGTTAACCTCGGTGTTGCTTTTAATCTTAAAATATATATGTTTTAATCTTTAACATTGTTGCTTTTATATTCATATTTTGAGCACTTCTTACAAATAAAACATATTGCTGTACTGCTATCATTTTTCACCATTGTGGTTTTTTCTTTTTTTTTTCAATTAAAAGGACCACCAGGCCCACCCGGACCACCTGGCTCGTCAGCCGGTAGCAGTTCCAGCCGCCATCACGATCGTGAAGAGGATGAGGAAACACCTTATTTTTCTGCATCTTCTTGGAATATGCGTATCGTTCCTGGAGCTGTTACCTTTCCCAACATTGATGAAATGACAAAGGTATGTGGATATGAAAACATACATTACTTTTTTTATTTATTTTTATTAACCGTTAAAAATATTCGTATGCTTTTGAACCGTATGGCCACCGACCATATTGTTTTCTTCTGGAAATTCCGATAGAGATCTGCCATGAATCCACCGGGCACTTTGGCTTACATTACCGAAGAGGAAGCTTTGTTGGTCCGAGTCAATAAAGGCTGGCAGTATATAGCGGTAAGTGCATAAATGTTATACGAAATAAAAACAATTTAATAAGGTAACTACTAAAACGGAAGGAAATGGAATAACGATTTTTTTATAAATCGTTCATTTATGAAAGAGATAAAATTAATTTCATAGAATACGTAAGAAAATAAAGAATCTATAAAATTCAGGTGGGATCGATTATATGCTAATTAAAATTTTATACTGGGAATTTATTCGTTATTGATTGCGTGTTACGGATTTGGAGGGGTTCAAATTTAAAATCGGATGAAAGTGACATATCGTACTTAATTCTTGATGCACTGTTTATATCTTCGGCTACAAAAAAATATAGTTTAAAAAAATTAAAATCGGGGGGTAGGGTTCTATGGGAGCTATATCAAGTTGTGGTCCATATTAAAATTATTAAAACAAAAAGTCGTGCGGGGCCGACCATGTGATACCCTACAACACTACGACATGTTAGAAGCAAAATGTCCAAATCCATTTTTGAAGATTTCGCTTTTGAAATGATGTCACGGAGCACTGCCCAGATATTACCCTCAGAATTTTGACATTTGGTCAAATTTATGCACTCCATCGTGCTGTTAGTTGTTGTGATCCATTTTACAGCCAAATATATTCCAATGGTCATCCAAAATGCTACAATTCTTCTCAGTCTCAGGCGTGTCGATTGACTTCAATGGTGTGATCAGGAATTTTTTTTTTCTGTTTTTGATTCATTTGAACCGCTAAAATATTTCGCGATTATCTCTAAATGCAAGATTACCCTCTGTATCTCCAAATTCAGATTCGTCTATATGATTCGCTTGTCTATGATATTTGGCTATATTCGTCAAAGAAATCAGAAAAAAAGACAGACGTTCTCCTTTTGTGTATTTCGGATATCACCTGTAAGTACTGTTTGTATTTTTTTCACATAAAAGTAGTAGTCCATTCTACCCACTGTCCTAAACTCTAACTTCATGCAAGATTTCGTGTCCTTTGGCTTCAGTGCAAAATCAGGAACATTTTGAGTTGTTGGCCCACTTCAACCCCTAAATATATTGCGGACATCTCCCTTCTAAGCCTAACCCTATTCTTGTGAAAATTTTCGTGAGGATCGGACGATAATTGCAATCTGTGCTGTAAGGTGAAAAAAATTTACAAAATATATACTTCAAGTCATATTTTGAAAAAATTGAAAAATCGCATGCGATAAAAAATATGAAAAAAATTGTCACAAAATATTACAAAATCTATATCATAATTATTGACATTTTTTATACGATTTTTTTTTTTTTTTTTTATTGAATTTTTTTTTTTTTTTAAAAAGGGGCATTCTGAATTGACAAAATTGGTCCAGCCATTTGCCAAAATTGGTCCAACCATTCTTGAGATATAAGCATTCTAGCTAACATCCCCTTCCTTTGTATATACACATTGTATGTATTTCGCTATATATATCCGATATATTTACTATCGGCATTTACGTAACGGTCAGAATTGACCTTTTCGTCTATTTGTGATTTCGCCAGGATTAAAAATATTCGGGGAAATAAAAATAAATGGAAAATTTGATTTTTATTTAACCAAAAATGTTATGATTTATTTCACCCACTAAATATTACCCGATGACCATCAAGGCTTGAAGGCTGCCCAGCCCTAAGCTCTAGCCCCATACCAATTTCTATTCTATAATTCCAAACTGTAGAGCAACTGTCAAATCAGCAATTTGTCAATTTTTGGTCCATATCAACCCCTAAATATTATGCTGTCATCGCATTTCGAGCCGTAATTGCGACCTGTAGAGTGATTACAAATTAATATGTACAGACGGACATACATAGCTAGATCGACGCAGTTCGGTGAGATAGGAATATCAATACATACTTTCCTATATGGGAAACCAATATTTATTTACATAATTTTTGGCCCAATCAAACTTATAATACCCCCAACACATAGTGCTATAGGGTATAAGAAATCATATCAAATTACATTCCATTTTAATAAAATAATGTACCTAAAATCTCCAAATTTCTTCAAATCGGAGGGTTATGTTATATGGGGACCATGTCTAAAGTGAACCAATCATCACAATTTTTTTAGTTACATAAGCTGATTAAAAAGCTTCTCTAAAAAATAAAATCGGTTTGTTATAAAGAAACATTTTTGTCACACCTTGCCATACCTTGAAATTCGAATCTTATTCGGCTCAAGGGCGAATCCTATTAAAATTGGGAATATTCGGTTTATTGTGAACCGAATATGTAATAACAACCCAAATTGGTTTAATACGAACGAATTTAGCCTGGAAGCAAGCAAAATCGCTTCTGATATAGTTACAGTTCCCATATATATTTTTAATTCGATTTGACATTTCAGTCCTCAAAAGCCGTAATATGCACTCCATAACTATAAAATTCAGTAAAAGATGTTGGCTGGAAATACCTTTGCTAAATGTTATCGAGATCGGTTACGATCTGAATATGGCTTTAATATATCTTCATCCGAATTCAAGTTTTTTTTTTGTAACAAAGGTTACAAAATGTTGCCGAGAAGCAATATAGATTCGTAATTCCTCTTTCGTTCATAAATTCCTTTTAGCATTATAGTTCATTCATGCTTAATCTTCTCTTTTCGTTCTATCGTTCCTTTTTCTTCAATCTTCCATTCATCCTCTTGACGTTTAACAAGTGAAAGATAGGATTTTGTAATTGAGAAACACTTTATTTTGTTCATTTATATAACTAAAAGTTATGCAAAAATATTTCCTTTTTCTATACAAATGAAAAAAGTTTAACAGGAATCACAAAGGGAAATTAAGTTAAAGAAGGTAATAAAGTGAAGGAAAGAACCAAAGAATAAAACATTAAGTTCGAATTTTAATAACCTTTAAAATTTTATAAAAACTTTATTAATAAAAGTACAGGATTCAACATTAGAACGTGTTGAATTTTATTCTTCAAAATATCAAACAACACAAAACAGGTGCCTTTATATGAGAACTATAAAATGTGAGCCCACACTGACAATTTTCTGCTGCAGGAGTTTTTACTTATGGCTAACTTAAAATACATAATTGTATTCAAATAAAAACTATGGCTTAAATCAAAAAAAAAAAAAAAAAAAAAAAAAACAAATAGCGATATGTACACAAGTTATATGGGGATATACGAAAAAGTCGTCCTTTTTGGACCACATTCTGTCTGAGAGTGAATTTCAAATACCAAACATAAAATAATTCAGTTGAGTTCGGCGCTTGAGTTCTGGTGGCCAACCGAAGGTGCATATTTTCAGATGACCTCTTTGGCAAGTAAACTCGATCATTTCATTTGTTTACAAATTGCTGGACAATGAATTTTTTCTCATCGGAAAAAACCAAATTCGGCAGTTCACCACTTCCGGCCAAGCGAAGCAACTCTTTTGAGTCTATTTTCTTTCTGTTGCGGTGTAAGTTGTTGGACTTTTCGGAATTTCAATTGCTTTACCCCGAGCTCATTTTTCAATATTTGCCGAATGGAATATTGCGATATGTTCAGCTCACGAGTGATCTAAAGATAGCCACTTGTTGTTTTCAGGCCAAATATAAAGATATCACGCTTGAATTCCATCACGAATAACTTTTTTTCTGGAAAATTCTCAACAAAATGCTTTTATACGCTTGGAAGCAATATAATGAGCTGTTCCTGATTAGAAATGACAGCAGTCTGAGTCTGGTTGCAGTTTTTTTCTTCTCAACCTCTACTTGTTTCTAGGCTCAATTTGGTCGCAAATGCCAAATTCCACCAAATTTTAGCTCATATTACACGATTGATGCACAATAAAAAGCAAATCGAACGAAGATATATGTGGGAGCTAGATCCAAATCCGAACGGATCTCGATAAATTTTGGGAGAAATATTTCTGTGCTGTATTTGATATAATTCCAAAAATATCGTTGTTACAGAGGAGGACAACAAGATCAAATCGGATGAAATATATATATATATGGGCTACAGCTTTATCTGCACAGATTTCGATCAAATTTGGCATACTTATTTCCAGGTCGTATAAACAAAACTTCGTACTATTTGGCTGATATTATACATTTGGTGCACAATTAAAGGCAAGTCTAACGAAGTTATATGTGGCAGCTATATCTAAATTTTGACCGATTATAACCAGTAGGGTTCATCCTTGGGTCAAACAAATGAGTTGTGCAAAATTTCATCTGGATCGGACAATAAATGTCGCATGTACCTTGTTTACAAAAAGTACATGGACAAACGGACCTACAGAAAGGCAGGCATGCATAAATCGACAGAAAATGTGCTTCTATGCAGATTATCAAAAGGTGCTATGTACCTATCTCTTCTTTTGCTGTTACAAACAAAATAACACCCTGACGAGGGTATATTTAGAGAATAACCCTCAACATTTAGAATATTTTAGTGTATTATAGTATCAGAGGTCAGTCCCGCACTTTTCATGGACAATGAAAAGTCCATAAATATTATACGTATGAGTGATATCAATTTTGAAATATATGAAATTACTCATACGTTTAGGAACTGCTGTACTGAACTATGAACACATTACACACACAACTCCACCCTACACTACATAAGAACTCTGGGCTGGTATTTTGTCCATTCTATCCCTCGAAGTTAAACATGTATCTCCTCGAATCATTTTTATTTTATACTGGTCTTTGTCTGCCAGACATAATTAATTTCTCCCAGTATTTTTTAAAGAATTCATAAAGGCACAAAATAAACATTCCACAAATACAATTTTCTTCATTTGTTCAACGTAAAGATAGAATTGTTTTTTTTAATATTTGATATTAAATTCCTGAAAATGCATTATAATTTAATAAAAAAAAATAATTCACTGTTGTGTCACATTGCCAATTGAGAATGAATTTACATTTACAAATGTTGCCATCATTGAAACAATGGAAGACATATTGCCAAAGAAAATATTCAGTATCCACATTGCAACGCGTAATTAAATAATACATAAATATTTTTTGAGTTGAGGAA